GGGTGCGTGCGTGCGTGCGTGTGTGTGTGTGTGTGTTGCTGCGCGGCCAGTGTGACTCCCGTGTGTGCGCGTGTGAGGACGGGTGTGCACCCGCGTAGCCCCCTTGTGCGTGTGCGCGGCTTTGTCTCCGCTCTGCGGGGAGGAAGGGGTGGGGGCGGCGGTCCAGGAGCTGCTGTCGCCGGGAGCTAGGCACCTGGCCCGGGCAATGGGTGGCGGCAGCGGGGGCGTCCCCGTCGGGCGGAGACTCCCTTCTGGCAAGTGGGCGGCCACACCCCGGGGGCCAAAGGGAGCCGGGCTGACGGCGGAGCCCGCATTCCGAGCCGAGCTGGAGCGGAGGGCGTGTCCTGCCTGAAGCGAGAGAGGGAGAGAGAGAGAGAGTGTGTGTGTGTGTGTGTGAGAGAGAGAGAGAGAGAGAGAGAGAGAGAGAGAGAGAAGCAGCGACAGCAGTCCCCAAGCAGGTGACCGGCGGTTCAGGGATCCATTTCCTGTTGTGGCCAGGGGACCCTAGGCGGGGTCCAGACCTAGTCTGGCCTGACCAGCCACTCTCCCGCTCTCAGGACTCCCGGTGGGTGAGTAGACGATTGGATTCGAGCTCAGGTGCCCTGAAAGGACTAGAAGGCAGAACCAGCCTCTTAAAGGGCCACCCCACTCCAAGGAACCCCCTTCAGGAGACCTCTTAGAGAGGTGTCACCGGGTGTGTCTGTGCCCTCTCCCTCAAGGATAGGTGTCGGCATGCTTTCCAGATCTGTAGTCTGTGTGTATGTGTGTGTTCTCCCTGTGTGCTGTTGTGCATCTGGGTGCTTAGCTGTGTTTTATCAGTGAACGGCGAATAATGTGTCACTTGATGTATGTGCTTTTTTTGTTGTTGTTTTTTTGTTTTGTTTTTTTGAGTTGGAGTCTCACTCTGTTGCCCAGACTGGAGTGCAGTGGCCGCTCCCAGCCACCGCAGCCTCGACCTGCTGGGCTCCGGTGATCCTTCCGCCTCAGCCTTCCAAGTAGCCGGAATTACAGGCATGCGCTACCACGCCCAGCTGATTTTTTTATTTATTGTAGAGATGAGGTCTTGCTGCCCAGGCGGGTCTCGAACCCGCGGGCTCAGGCAATCCACTCACCTCAGCCTCCCAAAGGCGCGGGATTACAGTATGTGTTTTTATAGTTCTGGTATATTTGTTTTTATGTACATATAGCTGTTTGTATATTAGTGAGTCTGTGCGTGTGCGTTCGCAGAGAAGTGGCATTTTGCTGCCAGCTGGAATAGGATTTAAAAATTTCTGTTCAGGGCCACTCTGCTTTAGAAAAACTGGGTGAAGAGCAAGTTTGGGAATTTAGTTCCTGACTCTGTGGGTCCCAGATACTGAAATGTGGGTAGATTTGGGTTTGACTAGAATACAAGGACAGAGAGACACCAAGCGTCTTGTAGTAGAAAGGAGGTATTCTGGGAGAAGGAGGTCCAAGTGCAAGAATTCTTCCCTGCGACTCCACCTCCCCCTCCGCACTCAGTGTGCCAGGATACAATGCCTGGGATTTAAAGTGTAGAGGGAGGGAGCTGGAAGTGTAAAGGAAGGAAGGTGGATGGGTGACAAGATTGGTGGCCAACAGCAGATTTCTGCAATTCCTAAAATATTTCCCTGCCAAAGGCAGTAAAGGCAGCAAAGGCAGAGGAGAGCTGAGCTCTCTGTCCCCTCCCTGAATCCCAGGACGTGGGAAGGCTGGCTGGGACACTAGAGCCTTGGAATCCCGTCCAGGGATCTCCTTTTAACTTTTAATCAAATGCTTTGCATGTCTATCTGTTCACTCAACACATTTTTATTAAGTGTCTTTATGTAAAATATTCTAAACTTCCTAAGTCTTGGTTTTCCTCACTGGGCAGCTAATGGGCTGGATTGGGGGACTTTGAAGCCACTTTCCTTGCTCAGAGTGCTGGAGTTTGTCTGATTGTTACCAGGTTGAGGAACCCACCCTTCTAGCCCCTATGGATCTTGGCCATGGGCCCCACTCACTGCTCCCTCTCCCCTCAGTAGTCTAGAGCAGTGGTTCTTCGAGTGAGGTCACTTTACCCCAGCGGCAGAGTCACCTGGGAGTTTGTGAGACATGCAAATTCTTGGACCTAGGAATCAGTAACTCTAGGGGCGGGGCCCGGCAGTCTATTTTTAACAAATGCAGGTGGTTCTTATGCACTCTAGAGCTCAAGAACCGTACAGACAACTAGCCAGGACCCTCCTATAAGTTGAAACACTTGGAAAGCCTCCTATGTTCCCCACATATACATTTGAAATAGCCCCATCTGGTAGATGGGAGTTAGGTCCCAGGTCTTGTGATCTTGAACAAATCGTTCCTTCACTAACCAGCACAATGACTCTTTGACAGTGTCTGCTCTGGGCCAGGTCCTGAGGAAAAGTGTTTCCTTGCTCTGCTCAGTTTCTCCAGTTCTTATCCTGGTATGTAAGGCCCTACAGGATCCTGTACTTGCCCACCTGTCTGGAAACCAGCCACTTCGACCCTTTAGTTCATGTAGGCACCAGGAACTCCTTTGCATCTGGGTTTTTGCACATGTGGTTCCTTCTGTCTAGCACACTCTTCCCTGCTTCTTATCTTGATTAACTCCCACTTCATATTTCAGCTCAGTGGTCTCTTTCTTAGGTGGCTCTTGCCAACTTCGTAGGCTAAGTCAGCTTTTCCTGTTATACATTCTTAGAACTCTCTAAGGACTTATGAAAGTTGTAATTATACGTGAACCTGTTAGTTCATGTGATCTTCTTAGTGTCCTTTTCAGTGCCTGACTTATGATTTGTGTTCAATAAGTTTGTCAAATGAATTAATTTGAAAATAGGAGATAGTACTAAATCATACTTAGAGTTTCCTCTCAAGTCCTGACAATGTATTCATCCAAGCAGGCCTCAGACTTTTCTCAAGTAGGCTTCTCTGTCTTTTTACTGCTGCCTCTTCCATTTCCTGGCCATAGATTTGAGCACTCACCATGTGGCCAGGCCTGTGCTGGGCTCTTTTGGCGGGGGGAGTAGAAGAAAGTTCTTCAGGAGACACAGCCTAGGTGGGGTTCTCTGTCCTGATTAGGGCCCTGCGGGAATGAGAAGAAGAGAACTGAATGAGGAGTCTAAAAATGTGGGTCCACGCCTTGTTACATGACTGTGGGCCAGTCATCTTCCCTTTTTTTGCATGTTTCCTCTTCTGTAAAATGAAGGTATTGGGGTGGATGGTGTACTTAATAGTGGTTCCTAGCTCTGGCTGTGGAGTCTCTTGGGCTTTGCTACTTATTAGTTGGATGGACTTGGGCCTAACTCTCTTCATTTCCTCACCTATAAACAGGACCGATACTAGTGCCTGTTTCATAGGATTGTTTTGAGAATTAATGAGGTAACATACATGGAATGCTTAGCATAGTGTGAGCACATCGTAAACATTTGGCAAATGTTAGCTATTATTGCTATTATGGCTACTCCACAGTTCGGGTCAACATTCTTGAAGCCCTTGTGTCAGACCCTAGGCCTATAGAAACAGAAATGATTACAACAGTGTTCACAGGCAGGGTTGGGAGCAGACTTGTAAGTGTGCAATATCACAAGGACAATGTACAAGGGTGTGGCTATTTGTGGAGGAAAAGACTTCATGGAGGAGAGAGATGGTACTTGGGCTGGATTTGATCTTCCAGGTAGTTGGAACAGCATGTAAAGGCAAGATGACTTGTTAGGGGAACACCAAATAGTTCCATGTGTTTGGAGCAAAAGGTGGCAAGTGGTGGGGACAGAGGTGGGGTGGTGAGAGTGACTGAGAGGAAGGTTGGGACCAGATCTGACAGGGGCTAAAGAACCTGACTAAGTC